GTGTATACCATACCATGCAATGCCAGTAATAGCAGCAGAATACATTCACGACATATGCCCTGACCCAGCTGCTTGGAAGTGCTCCCAGGTACAACACAGATAGATTCTTAGGGAAGCAAGACAGTTCTCAATCTCAGGAAACATGCTCAAAGTTGTATGAATTCCCACTCCTCAGAATGTTCTTTACTGGAGTAGCACACAAACACCTTGGTGTAACAATTGCTCTGCACTTTAAAATTCAGATAGGACAGACCTTCTCTTCTACCATATCTATTTTACCACACCTTTAATTTTCCCTTTCCCTGTTCTAGTTGAGCTACTCCATCCCTATACCCTGTGTTCTTAAAAGGGTGAGGATTTTCAGTGAACACAAGAGCAAGCCAGCACACCAGTCTCTCACTGTTTTGCCCTTTGAATTATCAGGGCACAATCCGTTCCCTCAGTTACTTCTGTTCATGTGCAACCTCCTCAGTCATAAACCACCTATCTTTGCTGCAAAAGCTAGTATTCTGTCATTGACCAGAGAGGGGATTTCGTTAAAAAACTGAACCACAAGTCTTTTCATATACATATAAGCAATTATTTCAGTTGAATAATCAGAAGCCTAAGACTTTTAATTTTTCATACAAGTAATCTGCAGAAGAGAAGCATGTTGTGATAATGGGGGTTGAATATAAGACAAGCACACAGAGCTATCTACAAGCCACTGAGACTGTAGCTTCCATTGTGTCTATAGCTTATTACAAGAGACCTCTAGCAATACAGTGAGCTTTGAACATAGTACAGGAAGTAGAAAATACTAGATTTACTTCATGCTCCCTACATGTCTACCACTGCAAGGCATGGCATCTTTCTCCTGGTTCCTAAATGGAATCCAGGTACAGAATATAGAAAATTTAATTTTATCGAAAAAGCAGTCGTGTCTTTCTAGGTACCTCAGAGTTTTTGCTCCTTATGGGGGATTTTTTGCTTTGTTTTTTTAACTGCTAGATTTGAAGTGACCCAGTAGTACATGTCTTCCTACATGAGCATTGCCTATATAAATGCACATACAATTACTGACCTCATATGCTTCTTTATGTACTGGGCCCTCAACTGTAATACCCTGAAATTAATTAGCCCATGTCCTCTAAAAGACAAATGCAAAGCAACATAACTGCAGTCTCAAATACCTTGTGCAGCCAGCTAAGAAAATATCTAGCCTGATTTTCTCTGCAGTTTCAAAGTGGTTAGATCAAGGACTTGCCTTCCCTTGTTTTGCAGGCAGCATACCACAGCACATAAGACAGTACTTTTTATTTTTATTACTATTAATGAAGCACAGCAAACAAAGATTTCCTCATCTCTTCCACTTTAGGGTCAATCCTGCAATACTCAGCCATTGAATCCCACTGTTAACAGCAGACCAGTGCTGAGAAACTTATACGGGGAGGGGGGGTGGGAGCATCACTCGTTTCTAGGAACTTGGCTGAGTCATAGAGCAAGTTTCTCAATAACAGAAGTAAGAGAACAGAGAGGCCTCAAGAACATCCTCTAAGCCCCCTTCTGGTAGAGAGGCTCAGGATAGAGGGAGATTAGCTGTATATGGTTCAAGGCACTGTGCATTTACATTAGCTACCAAGGGCCTGCCTACAGCTCCTGCATTTACAGAGACAGATATGCCAGCCTGTGGAAATAGTGCCTCAAGCCCTAAAAGCCAACAAAGTTTGTGAGTGGCCAGGAAGGAAAAACAGTAAATAGGACATTTTCTGCAGCATACAAGAAGTGAACAAACCTGTTCTGCCTCTAGTGTATTTAGCTTTTTCATTTTACAGGACAATAAAGATTAAGCAAAATACAATTCTGAGGAGATAGGGTTAAATTATTTTCAGCTAAAATATACAGAGGTTATTCAATAAGGTCCCTCACTATTTTTAAGATTGATGGACACTTAAAAGGCATAACAATTCCTAGATAATAGTTGTTCCCCCCACCCAGCTGGTACCACACATAAAAGAGCTCATTTCCACCATTTGGGGTACTAGATTTTTAAACAGTAAGAGGGACAAAAGGCACACAGTAGAAAGGTCATATTTGGACCACACAGCCTGAAAAGCAAGGTGCTATGCCAACATCAGTACCCCTCCCCAGCAAATGTGTAGTCAGCATTTAGAACAACATTTAGAAAAATACACTAAACTGTCTGCTCATCAAGCATACCATGTTTAAGCCAGGAAACCTGAATGCTAAAACCATCACACTTCTCTTTCAAAGAAGCCCACAACATAACTCTACTAACCTTTGCAACAACCACTCTTTTAACTTCCTACCCACTCAACCCCAGCTGCTCCTTGTACAGCTATTACAAAGCTGAGGGCACTCGGTAATCAGCTAAGGGAATCTTCTGGCCATCCCCCACTAAGCCTTCCTTGTCTTAAAGTCTACCAGTTCCTAAGACTACCTAGGTACAAGCTAAGAGGCTTTCCTTGGCTTATAGCTCAAATAAGAAGACATAACCATCTATGTCAGTCATACATCATGGATTAATAACCATAAATGCTCACCTTTCATTTTATAAGTAGGCAATAATTGATATAGCAGTAAGAATTTTTTTAGAGTAGTGTGTTACCACTAGTTAAAACTATGACAGTTGGCATGCATACATTCATATTTATTAGCCTTGAAGCCCAATTTAGGAGAGTAGGGAGATATACATGACAGGATATAGATTTTCTGAGTAGCCACAGTGTAATTAAGAAACTTCATGTACCCAGGTATAAAAAGAGCTTATGACAATTTTTAGACCGCATATACTGTTCCTGCTCAGTAGTATTCCACCTTTTTTCCACAGTAGCATCAGTATTCAACCTACACACCCAAAATTGATTAGCAGCAAAGAACTGTGGATGGCAAAATATTTGCAGGTATCTATAGAGTGGTGAATTTTCATATCATAGTGGCTCTGTACTCCAAACACACAAGACAGCTCTTGTGTTGATGTATGCATGAGCGACCACCTTGAGGGCAGTCCAGCACACAGCCAAGATACAATCCAGGGGCAAGAGTTGAGAACAAGAAGTAGGGACTGCCAAAATTGAAAAAATAGAGTGTAGCAAATACATCTTGGCTCGGCTGTTAGCTAGCCAAAAAGCATCTGTGGATGATGGTTCAGCTGCACTCCCAGCATCTATGTTGACCACACTGAGCTTACCACAGGTCTGCTAGAAGGGCTGGTTTGTTCAGCTATTGCTAACAGTTGTGTCCATTCAAGTCCACATCTAGGAGAACTAGAGTGAGATAAATTCCCAGCAGCTATGCAAGACAGCCCCATTTGTCACTGAAACCTCTGCAGATATTAACCCTCATACAGACTTCAGAATCCCTGAATTATTTCTCTTCTCTATCTCTTTTTTTTTTTTTTTTTTTTTAAATTTACTCTTTGTCATAGTACCGTTTGGTCTTCCTGGTTCCAGTTACTGTGTTTGAAAGACAGGATCCCTTTTGGGGCTTTACTTGCTGAAAGCTTCACCTCCTTTCTGTTCCTTTTTAAGATTATTTGGATACAGCATGTATTCTGAAGAGTGACTGTCTACAGTTATATTCATTAAAGGTAGATTTAATTAAAGGCTTGGCATGATTATACAGGTTTCCCAGTCTACCCTGCATGTATCTCTCTCTCTTTCTGGAAACCACTTCTCCTACAATACATTTCTTTGCTAACACTTGTTACATGGGTTCAAACACTTGTTACAGGGGTTCAATGGCCTGTGTAGTTTTAATATATCCCACTTATTTCTCCCTAGCCTCTCTTCCACTAATGGCTACACTATATGACACGCTCCAAGATTGTATCAAAGGTCCTGCTGTTTCCCCTACCCAACAAAAGTCTGAATTCAGAAAATATTTCATCTGTTACATTTACTTCTGCTTTTGATACAATGATTTTACTCTCATAGAAATGTCTTTTGATACAGCTCTCTAAGTAGCTGAAAAGATGCAGCCTTTTTTGGAGCATTAACCACATTAACTCTGGAGTGTTAACCACATTAAACCACAGTTAGTGTGGTTTATCTGAATCTGTTCCGCATTTGAACCATATCTCACGCTACTTTGTTTTTGCTGCATTTATTCCCTTCTAGTGAAATGGGAAATTTCTGATTAACATCTAGTAACACTCCTTCACTTTCCTTTTTTACTCTATTATCTCCCTTGCTTCAATACATCATTTATAGTATTCCCTGGGAGCAAATCAAATGATACAGTAATGTTTTGTCTCCTTCAAAAGCAGTCACTTTATTTCTAGGAAAGGCATCTACCTGTCATGAAAAATAATCTATTACTCATCTCTTCAGCTGATGATGGATAGTTTCCCCCATGTAGTCAACATGAGTGTAATTCCTAAAAGGCTGTCTCATCAGAGCTCTTTTTCTGAGCTGATTGTCTTGGTTTTGCTGGCAAAGAGCAGAAAACCATTAATACGCTTTTTCAGGGTTTTTTTCACCCTGTTTAACATGCAATGCCACCTAGCTTCCTTTTGGTTTGGATAGTGTAGGGTGACTTCAATAAACATTTTCGTATTTCTTGGTGTCATCCAGATAGCTCCTTCCTCACTGACCATACACAGGATACCTTGCAGTACTTTGAGAGATTTCCAATGCTGCATTCACTATCTATGGCTGGCACAATTAAACAATGGTTCCATTTCTTCATTGTTTGGATTTGCTGGGTTTGTTCTGCTTTTGCTTCTCTGACTGCTGATAACCCCTTGTGACTATTGCTTGTGCCACTAAGCTATTTCCCAGGCTGCCAGAGGAGAGGCTATTATGACTGTGTCTTAAGCAGTCATATCAGCTAAGTTATTTCCTTTTGCTAATGTGTTTTTTTTAATGTGCTCTGACAACTGGATAGAGTCTGAGCTCTAACTGCTACAACTTCTGACATTCTTCAAAGACAATGGAATGGGTAAATTACAGGATGGTAGAAAAGGACTCATGAGATTTTGACAGTTTAACCATAGGCATGAAACACCATCACTTCCAGTTAGCTTTTTACAGGTGTTTCCCCATGTGCCATAGGGGACCTTCCTACAGTGACAGCCCTAGAAAAAGATACAGGATAGCTCTCTGCAGTGCCTACACCGGAGGAAATACCCTCTCTCTGCAGGGAATCATGGTGAAGTGGAAAGCAGTTGTGCACGCTAGCTTGTAGCTGTCACAATAAAGAAATTCAATTTGAAGCCTACAGTTTCATACAGTATTTTATAGAACAACAGTTGGAAATATGCTCAGCTAAGGAAAATGAAAAAGCAAAGATGGGGGAGAGGAGAGCTCTCAGATTCTGTGGTAAAATATCAAGAGAAAGACAGAAAGGTGCAGTTTATATTGCAGCAAAGTTATCTGAGGATATTAGGCAATTTGGTGAAAATTATGTCTATTCTTTGCTACAAATGATGCAGAAATGCAAAAGAAACAAGTGGTTCTGGTAATGGGTTGGGAAGAGAAAGCTTGCTAAGAAAGGAAAATATCCCCACATGCTACATACTCTGACTCTTGGACTGAAAACCCAAGAGTCAGAATACTTGTTTGAAAACCCATGTTTTGCCACTCTGTGGTGTGCTGTCTATTTCCAGTATCATCATTCTGAATAATTTCTTCAGGGTAGAACTGTCTCTCCATTGACTGAAGAGTTGGTTTGCTTTGTTTTCTGTGACAGGCGGGGGTCAGAGGACCATTCGTAAAGCAAAAGGCGCAAACCTTTGCTGGTTCTGTTGTCTCACAGATTTCATTCTGCTACAGCTGGTGGCTGAGCATTTCTGCCTGGGATGGCGGAGGATCAGGAGCTGACTCAGCCACACAAAGCTCAACTCGAGCCCTCCCTGCAGCAGCGCACCAGCAACACATACCGCAGTGCAGAGCACTCTCAGGCCTTGCTCAGTGGCTTGGTATCTCTCCGAGACAGCAGCATCCTCTTCGATGTAGTTCTGGTAGTGGAAGAGAAACCTATTGAGGCTCATCGCATACTTCTAGCTGCATCCTGTGACTATTTCAGGTACACCTCAGTACGGCAGTAACAAGCATGTGTCTGAATGTTACTCAAACCTGCAACATCCAAATCTTCTGTCTTGGCACACTGCTTCTGGATATAAATTAGACCCATAAAATGGAGCTGAATGTGTTTCAAAATAGTATGGCTTTATTCATCTCTGTTATTTCTTTACAGAAATAAAGCTCTTGTTCCTGCACACTGAGCTTACCTCCCCTAAATTCACTGCCTGTGGTACTTAGAGGTATATAAAGAGGAGAGACTATCTGAACAGGTGTCTTCTGCATAAATGCACTCTGGGTGGCTTTTAACATATCCTTAGCATTGTAAGACTTTGCCCATTGTGGTGATCATTTCATAATACACAAAAAGTCACTGGAAGTGGGTCACTCCTCTGTTACATGCCTGTAGTGTGACTTGCTGTTTATTAAACCAGGCACTCCCCCAGTCAATTTGACTAGCAGTTTCTTGAACTGACTTTATTTTCAGAGAGCAAACAAACAAATCCCAATCCACACAAACTTCTAACTGGAGGAAGAACTGCTCTAGCTTAGAAAAAAATCCTGCAGTCCCAAATTCCTCTGTTTTTCCCTCTTGCCCCACACCCAGAGTATCTGCCTCTGCCCAATTGATTATCATATATACTGGGTCTGTATTTATGTCCTTCAGCTGTGAATTGTACCTTTCAGATGGCCCCTACTGTTTTCCTGCAGAATGAAGAGTATTACTTTCTTAGGTCCTGAAGGCCTGTATTCTTTGTATCATTAGCTTAGAGAAGAGGTAATCCCATAAAAGTGTCTGGCTAGGTTTTTATCTATCTAAATATTTTTTATGTCCCCAGGACAACATAAGATAAGGAAACTGCAAATCTGCCATAGCATGTGCCATTGTCTTTTTTACAGAGGAATGTTTGCAGGAGGACTGAGAGAGATGGAACAAGAAGAAGTTCATATTCATGGCATCTCCTACAATGCAATGTGTAAAATCTTGAACTTCATTTACACTTCTGAGCTGGAACTCAGTGTGAACAGTGTACAGGAAACCTTAGCTGCAGCCTGTCAGCTTCAGGTGAGGTACTGGGACATGTGACAAAAAAAGAAGCAAGAAACAAAAGCAACAATGAAAGAAACAGAAAACATGGATATCTGGTTAGATGGAGGGTTAGGGGGTAAATAAGAGCATGGGTCTGATGAGAAGAATTTCTTTGAGTGCTGTATCCACTGGAACTAACTATGGAAGGGTAGAAACAATGAATGAGTATTTGCACATCTCATTTGAGCCAGTGGTTTTATAATCACTGTTTCATCTAGAGGACTGTTTTATATAGCACTCACTTCCACTGATCTGCTTATGAAAGCTTTCCTGAAAAAGAATACCTGTGGCCTATGGTAAAGGACAGGGCTTGCTGCTCAGAAATTGTTGTGCTGCTCACAATCTTCCCCAGATTGAGTCCACAGGCACATAACCTCCCCTGACCCCGTCACCACAGGAAATGCTGCCACTATGGTTTCTGCACTAAGTGCAACATTTATGTGCCTTTAAGACAATTTTTTTTTTCTCTAACTTCCCCTGCAGCTAATGGCTGCACAAGACTTTGGAAGTAAATCTTAAACTTTCTGAGTGCTTGCTTTGGTTGATTTCTACACACTTAGCACCACTTTGTTAGCAGAGGGGTTCTTGGACAGCGGTTAATTCTTTATTTGCCAGTAGTCCCTCCTGACCAATACAACTTCAAATTTTATTCAGAAAACAATACAAAATATTAATTTTCCTTTCAAACGACTTCCTGTGTTCTTGAGTGATGCAGATATATTTGTTACAGATACAGTTCTGATACAGCATATCTATAGTGCTCTGAAAGAACAATTACAGAGTGACTGTAAACCTGGCTTTCACCATGTCCTCCATGCCTTCTGTTTTCATGATTGCCTGGCAGCCTGCAGCTTGGTGCCATGCTAACAAACCAGGCAGCCTGGCTGTCCAGTGTCCCATGTGACTTGGAAGACACATTGCTGCTGCACCTGAAGCCAAGCTCACAGGCTTGCACTATAGTATGATTAGAAGATCTATATTATATCCACCTACATACCCATGTTGAGTTCTTTTTCTCAGGAGAAAGGTGAATTGGGAGCAAGTGAACATGATGATGATCAGACTGTGAGGAGAGCAGTCATCTTGTGGACAACTTTCTTACAGTCATCCCAGCCTTCTGTCACCTGTCTCTTGAGTGTGAGGCAAGTGGTGTCTGAAATGAAAAATATCTCTCTCTTGCAGATTCCAGAAGTCATTAAGTTCTGTTGTGATTTTCTCATGTCCTGGGTAGATGAAGAGAACATCCTGGATGTATACAGACTAGCTGATCATTATGACTTGAGACATTTGAGTGATCAGCTGGACTCCTACATTTTGAAGAATTTTGCAGCTTTCTCAAGGACACAAGTGTACCGACAGCTACCCTTGCAGAAGGTCTACTCCCTTCTCAGCAGCAACCGTTTAGAGGTTAACTATGAGTTTGAAGTTTATGATGGAGCACTTTTTTATCATTATTCTCCAGAGCAACTGGAGACAGATCAGGTCTCCCTGATGGAGCCCCTTAAGCTACTTGAGACAGTTCGTTTTCCTCTGATGGAACCCCAGATCCTGCAAAGGCTTCATGACAAATTAAGTCCCTGTCCTTTAAAAGATACAGTTGCAGATGCGTTAATGTACCACAAGAATGAATGTCTTCAGCCAATGCTTCAGAGTTCCCAGACACAGCTGAGATCAGAGTTCCAGTGTGTAGTGGGATTTGGAGGGATGCATTCTACTCCATCCATTGTCCTCAGTGATCAAGCCAAGTATCTGAACCCCTTGTTGGGAGAGTGGAGGCACTTTACAGCCGCATTAGCCCCCAGAATGTCCAACCAAGGGATTGCTGTTCTCAATAATTTTGTGTATTTAATTGGCGGAGACAACAATGTAAGTGGTTTTCGAGCAGAGTCAAGGTGTTGGAGGTAAGATAAGGATAATCCTGCTATTATTTTTATTACCACCTTGTTGCCCATCTCTGAGTCAGTAAGCCAGTAGCGCAGTCTGTACGCTTGCTAGCCACAAGATTAGGAACTGAGCAGGGGCCTCACTGAAAAGAAGATACAAGAAATAAAGAAACGAGCCTCACAGTAACAGGAAGCTTCCAGCAGTGCTTATGGGACAAAGCCAAGCCTGATATGGTAGAAACAGCAACTCATTTACTATTACATGGGCTAGTTTCTGCCTTGTTGGAGGGGGGAAGTATTAAAGGTGTGGGAAGCAGTAATGAACCTAGAACCTTAGATTGTCTAGATGCTCTTGAAATAGGATTTTCTGGAATTTCTCTGTGTGTAGTTTTGGTCCCAATACAAAGGGCTTTAACTACCAAAAAAAGTGGGTTTATTTTTGATTTTCAAGAATTTGTATTATGTTGCAAAAAATGATACGAGCCTTTTATATTGTGGTCATCTTCACTAGTTTTAGCTGAGCTGCCCTTATTTTATGGCATGCATAGTTTCACTTTTCTCTGTAACTGAAATTTCCAGACCAGATAGATAATTTGATCTGAAAGTGAATCATGAGGTCCACTTTGAGCAGCAGGTATGTTTGGAAAAGAATCAAAAAACCCACCACATATTTATGCCCTTCTTGGACTCTTTAAGATCCAGATTCAGTCTTTGTGCTATTTTTAGACTGTTTTACTTTGTAGAATGGCTTTGTGCAAGCAGAGATTTTGATCTATAACCTGACAGCAGCGTATAAGATAATGGAAAACCTAGGCTTTTATAGTATGATTAGGTCAGCTAAAATACATCTTCTAAAAATAGAATAAAACAACTTTGCTAATAATAAAATGCTGACAAGGCCAAATTTCACTCTACTTACAGCTGAGCTCAATTTCAGCCAAAGACAGCACAGTAACCCACATCTGTGGTGCTGTCTGGTATTCCAGCAATGATTCTGTGGCTGTATGAATAACTTGCTTTGATCCCATTTTTTTACAAGGTATGATCCACGACACAACAAATGGTTCCAGATCCAGTCCCTACAGCAAGAGCATGCTGACCTCAGTGTTTGTGTTGTGGACAACTATATATATGCCGTCGCAGGCCGAGATTACCATGAAGACCTGAGGGAAGTGGAGAGGTATGACCCCAAAAGCAACACTTGGGAATATGTGACACCTCTGAAGAAGGAGGTAAGGAGTGCATGAGCCACACACACTATTACACTTCCCCAGTCCCCGATTTAATCTTTTTAGATGTGTTTCTCATGTGTAGCTTTAAATTTTCTGATACTCAATTGGGAAACAGTAGCCTCTGTATATAGGGGATAAATGAATATCAGGAAAGGAGAATAACAATATATGTAAATTACATTTTGAGGTTAAATGCTTATTTTTCCTGTTTTGTTCTTGTTTTCCCTTGCACCTTTACTGTGTTAATTCTTAAAACCATTTAAAATTAAATGCATAACCTCTGGGAACAGGAAGTTCCCATTGCTTCTAGGCAGTTAAACTATGAGCCACATCAGTACAAGCTTCTCATAGTCCTGACAACATGCTTTAATCCTGATCAGAAGATATAATGCCCCAGCAAGAAGGTACATTAGTTTCTATGGATTACTTTGTTCCTAGACACAGAACTAGGGCTGGGTAATAATTTCTGGTGACAATAATTTATGTGGTGCAGAATCGCATCTCAGTCAGCTAACATAAGACCATTATTCAAAGTATGTGAGTGAATAGCTGTCTTTTGTCATCAGTAGCATTTATCCTTCTAGAACAGCAATTGCCAAACTAGCAGTCATGACCCCAGGAACCAAGAAATGGTGCAATGACATGGGAACTGGGGTTATGAGTGGAAAAGTTCGTTTTAAGTACTAGTACTGCTAAAAAAAGATGAGAATTTTCAGTTTCAGGTTAAAAGTGTTGCAATGTTGTAAGATAAATAGAAATAACAGCTTGATGAATCTTGGTTAGGGAAGAAAACTAAATCCTGAATAATCTTTGAAGAAACTATACTGATTTCTACGATGTCTTTTAAAAGATTTGGGTCAAGTGATGAGCACAAAATAATATTCGTGATTCCATAATGCCTCTCAATTGAGAATCTCAGGACACCTTAAAAATATAAACATTACTGCCATTTTACAGAAGGGATACAGAGGTAGAAGAGGTTAAACAGCTTGCATGAGGTCACAAATAAGAAATGTGTGTCAATGCTGAGAATATAAAAAGCCTCAAGATCCAATTGAGTGCTACTAAGTAGGATATCTTGCATTCCTGATAACACTGTATAAGAAAAATCTCCAACAGAAAGGCTTCCGAGTAGACTAGTGAGAACACTTTTACACATAATCACTTAGAAAGGAATTGTCTATAAGAAAATCCTTCCAGATGTTGATACCTGCATAACTCATGAAGAATGTCACTCCCTTAATGTCTTTTCAATACTTTGAAACTGGGAGAAACAAATAAATCCAGACCTCAACCTCCTGCTTTCCCATGTGGTGATACAGGTATATGCACATGCTGGAGCAGCACTGGATGGGAAGATGTATATTACTTGTGGGAGGAGAGGAGAAGACTATTTGAAGGAGCTACAATGTTATGACCCCAAAACTGACCGCTGGGACATTTTAGCAGATGGCCCAGTGAGACGTGCTTGGCATGGGATGGCTGCACTGCTGGGAAAGCTCTATGTAATTGGAGGAAGCAACAATGATTCTGGCTACAGAAGGGATGTTCACCAGGTGAGAGCGTGTCATACCTGTGTCTTTCTCGGAAGAGTCTGTTTCTTATGGATGCTTGTACTCTGACGTAGTGTATTTCTCCTGCTAAGTATTCAAATAAAACTGTCTGCCCAGCAACAGCTACTGCACCAGCTCTCCCCCACTCAGTTGCAGAACTTGCAGTGATTTATTTACCACTGTCTGCCTTGAATGCATTGTCTAACCCACAAAGCATTAAAGCTCTAGTACTTAGAATCCTTATCAATTTTAAAACATCTTTGATTGATAACATTCATTGGCATGCACAAATTTAGTAAGTAGCACATCAACTAAATTTACTTTACGTTGTCTTTTAACATGCATTTTTTTTAATAAATGGAGGACTTTTGAATTACCAGTGTGTAATCACAGGACAGATTTGTTAAGGCTATGTCAGATGGTAATTGTATAATGCACTTAAATGAACAGCATGTGATGATAAGTGATGGCTGGAGAGAATTCTCTTGAGTCTTATTCCAGACTAGAATTCCTTCATTCCTCCATTCCTTGTAGAACTGCTAAAGACATGAAAAGTAGACACAAAAAGTAACTGCTCTTATAAAGCCAGTGAAGATTGCAGAATTAAATCTAGCTGAAAAGTATCTGAATGATAAAAAGGTGTTTAGGTGCTTACAAATAAAAGCAGTTAGCCAAGAAGGTACCCAATGAAATCTAAAACTTCCCAACATATGGTGCAAAGAAAGCTTAGCAGTTTGTCCTATTTGTATGTTCCAGCACATTTTTTCCCAATACAAACAGATGCATTATGTCTGAGCTTATATTACCACGTGTCCCCATCTCTTTCACTTTTGTGTACATTTTTTCAATGAAATGCAGCTGTTACTCCAGCAGCAGGGTCAGAAGTTGGGATTCAGAGCTATATGACAACTATGTACAGTTTTCTGCCAAGTACTGTATTCTACTACATAGTGATATGCTCTCTCCATTATCAACACCCTGTCAAAAGGCTGATGATATTGCATGGCTTCCTAAATAGTTTGCCATATGGCCAGCCTCTGTCACTAAGATACAAGTTGATTTTGGATAATCTCTTCCCTTTTTTTGCAGGTTGCCTGCTATAGGCCAAGCACTGATCAGTGGACAAATGTATGTCCGCTTCCTGCAGGACATGGAGAGCCAGGTATTGCAGTCTTAGACAACAGGATCTATGTCCTGGGAGGCAGATCCCACAACAGAGGAATCCGCATGGACTATGTCCACATTTATGACGCAGAGAGAGACTGTTGGGAGGAAGGACCACAGCTGGAGGATGATATTTCTGGGATGGCTGCCTGTGTCCTCACTTTGCCCAGGGCTATTTTAATGGAAACAGAGAAATGGTTCTCAGAATGGCATGCAGACCGCGTGAAGTATCACCTTGACTTTCCATCAGAAGTTATGAGTGTATCAGACTGGGAGGAATTTGACAATTCAAGTGAAGATTAGAAAACTTTAATATTTATTTTTTGCCAGTGGATGAGAAAATTAAGGCTTGGAGAAAATACTTAGAGATTTTATATGTCTTTCTTATATATATAAATCAGTATTTAAAGGTTTGAAAAATAAGTGTTCTGCACAAAATGCCATTCACAATCAATATCTGCCCATCTGCAAGTGTTCTGCACAAATGCCACTTACAGTCAGTACCTGCCCACCTGCCAGAAAGCAGCATTTTTCAAGTAACCACAGAACTGCCATTTTCCCCCAGTTAAAGTACAGAGGTTTCTTTCACTTTGCGGGAGACTCTTCTCAATCTTCAGCATGGACAGAAAAAAAGGCACAGAAGGCTCAGCTTGACTAGCTTCTTTCCTTCCAGCTTTTAGCTTGAAATAGCTTTTTGAGATTTTTTTTTTCCTTTTCATTTTGGTAATAGAACTTCCTAGCCAGTTTAACACAGGAAGGTAACACCTAGTGTCTCCCTCCTGTGCCAGGTGTCAGACAGCTTGATGGGTTTTTCAGCAAGATTGAACATACTGAAACAGGAACAGTAGCAAGAAAGTCTAAACATCTCATCTGGGCATGCAGCCATCTTTGTAACTGGGTTAGAGTCTGTGAACTGACACCCACTCCTGAACTTCTATACTACAAGTTCTCTCAACACAGTGGAAAGAAGATTTCTAGAAAAAACTCTCTGTACAGAGTATGGCAATCTCATGGTTCAACTGTCAGACACATTTGTTCACAAGCATAAATTAATAAATCCTTGTCAGAACTTTTTTCTTTTTAACTACTGTCTCAGTTTTATTAACCATGGAATCTGAAAATTAGTGAGCTTAATTAGATCCTATAGTACTATATTAGTATCAGTGAAGTTACACCAGCTTGGGGGATGGGCAATTTTAAAAATTCTTTTATTATATGCTTTAAAAGAGAATAAAGACAGCAGAGATTGGTTTGCCATAGCATAACAAAAAATGTAATAAGGAGATAACTAGAGGTATTTAAGATTACAGTGGTCTGGGACCCTGCAGTAGCTGAACTAATGCCACGAACATCATACAGAATTACTACAGCTCAGAAAGATAAGGCATAGTAAATCCGTCCTTCATAAGGCCTTAAAATAATTGGCTTCTGACTACCAACTTGCTTAGCACTAGTTTAGAAGCTGATCTAAAATCTGAACCAGTCTGATACCTGAATAGTATAGGATCCTTCCTCTTGGAGGGGCAGTAAGTAATCAGTGCCACCAGAAAATGATGATAAACTACCAAAAGCTTTTGGATCTTGTAGCAGTAATGGGGTTGCAGGAGAAGGGCAAAACCAAAGTAACAATCAGAATGATACTAGTCAAGTGTCATCACATCGTGACAAATAGTGCACATTGACATGCTACTTCACAGAAATGGAAGAAATTCCTGAATATTACCATTACTTAGGAATGTTTTGTTTATGGAAACAAAGATGATTTCAAAATGGACCTAGATGACTCTAGTAGACTGGACTTCTGAAAAAGATTCAAGAGAATTTGCATGTTTCTTTTAATAAACTCAACAGCTTTTTCTTGGTAAGAAGGGCATTTGTTGGATTTTTTTCTCCAGCACTGTCAGTTTTCACTTCAATCTCTGAACCTTTGCCAACTGGCAAATAAAACAAAAGACCTGGTAACTGCAGGAAACACTGATTATGAGTTTCTTCAGAAAATCTTTTTTTTGATAATGAACTCTGAACTGCACATGGAGTCTGGAAATACAGACTTTATAACACAGCAATATTGGAGGCTATTTTGCCTTCAGAGTTAATGTGTAGAAATTAAATGTAGGTGTCAGTTGTAAGGACAGTTCTCTCTCCCTGAACGTCACTAGAACTACTTCCAGACTGCAAGTGTTGCAGTGGCAATTTGTTTTGTCTGCTAACAGCAAGTGATTCAAGACTTCTAGTGGTCCAGGTCATATTCTAGACCCAGCTGTTGCAACTAAACACACATATCTAACTCAAGTCTAATGCTTGCAGTGCTTTTTCATTTTAACTAGCACTTCTCGACAGATCAGTGACACCCTGTTATAGAAGTGAAAATGTTATTTAGCTTCTTTCGTGATTAAAAAAAAATCATTCTTTGTCTGGCTTCTTTTCCTATGTATACCACTAGAGGGTATTACTTACTATTACAAATATCAAAACTCATAGGCTAATTCTTAGATTACATAGGAGAATGTAAAACATCCATGAGTAATTATTAAGCTAAAGAAACATCTTGAGAAAACTCATGGGGGGGTGGGGTGGTTCCAGCTTCTACCCTCTCACTGTGTTTGAATACTGATTCTTACATAGTCAGGTGATCCGTTTTTCCATTTATTACTATACGCAAGTTTGTGGCTGGATTATTTATCAGATGTTGCAGTTGGATGCTGTGCCAAGCAAATCAATAGAAGGGTTAGGATGCAGTTACAAGGAAATTACTTTTCCTTAAAGTAGATCATCTACTTTAGAGAGAAGTGCTGCATTATTTTTATGGGTTTTTTAGTTACTGGTAGAATACCCCTAAGTTACATGAACTAAACCTAAGGGAAGATATTAAGTATTTTGATTTGATATGAACAAAACTTTCTGTTGCTTTCACCCCATGTATTGTGACTGTTGAAATTTATGGTATGCACTATCTTACTTGCATGTATTTTGGTTAGGTAAAAAACCACAGAGTTTAGCTTAGCTCATACCATCCTAATCATTTAGCAGTAGCTCGTTTTAGTCCAGCATGTACCTTTTAAAACTAACATATATGCTAAACAATAATAAAATTGGTTTGCTTTTAAATTGGCAAATTTAACTCAGCAGATGTAAAGCACTTGGTTCTTCTTGTTTTCTACAGTTGCCTGTATAAAGAAATTCCACGAGAGATTACAGATTGATACACAGAGCTATAATTATTATTGATCAGTTTTCCTATCAAGAGTGATGCTTCAGGAACTTAGCCTTCAACAGCCCACTTAAATGTGGTGTTATCTCAAGAAAAACATTTACTCATAGGGATTTTAGGTTGACTCCATTTTTTTTAATCTATAAATTCTCTGATCTCCTAAATATGTCTTGTATCTTACAGTAAAAAGCATTCATTTTTTACAGCAATTCCTCAGAGAGAGTATAGCACAAGGCATTGTGGACAGATGGACAATGAACGAAGAAAGCTTTAAGTTATTTCTGGTCTATAAGAATAGCCAAACAATCTTCCAGAAATAAGTGATCAAAATACCAACACTTAAACTGCTGATACATTGGGAAGTCCAGAAGAATAACAAGGTTTCTTGATAATCTATTTTCCTATTTCCTGCCAGCACAGAGGTAAAGCTGTATAGGCATATTTGCTAGATTTGTAATTAGTGGACTTGTATCCTGAAGTATTTCAAGCTTCCATATTTGGAGAAGTGATTGTGATTGCTTCAGTTTTTGTTTCATGACTGCTTTCACTACTGTATTTCTTTTCCAGCTGTCTATCTCCAAATCCAACATAGCCTTTCCCACTTCCTCATGGTTTAAATTAGGGTGGTTAATTTTGCATTGGAAGCTTACCCAGTACTTGATTTGAAACAAATTGTATACCCTTGACAGAAATTTACTTCTCCTTACTTAGAGACCAGCCACATGTACAATTTATTTGGCATTCAGCCCAACTGATGGGGTCAGAAGCTTCTGGCAAAAGGAAGAAGGAGCAGCTGGGCACAGGGAAAGAGGGACGGGACCTTCTCAAGGGAATATTCTGCCAACTGAGTTTTTATTTCATCAGCAGCTGATGCACTTTAAGAGCTCCCCACCTCCTCCGTTGTGCTACAACTCTTTGGCCATGCTCTGAGGGTGGAAGCTGCCAACAGTTAAGACAAAGAGCATAAATGTATTTATATGTAAGAAAAAGATAAAGTGGTACCATACATTTATCCATTCTTCTTAAACCAAATGCAGTTGTAGGGATGTAATACACCTGAGATGGTTGTCTGTAGTCTAGGGAGTTGAAGCCCAGTCTTGTTCAGTAACATAAATGATCTTGAACAAGTCACCTTTTTCTCATACGTAACTAGAACATGGGATCTTTTTACCTAGAAGATCTGGCCTAGTTCAACCACAGTTATTGAAACTGTGGGGAGAATTACTTGAAGGATGCACACAGCCTGCATGAATACAAGTTCAGAACAGCTAATTGTGGCAGTTGCTTCCAAACTGAAAACCTCTCCATGCCTTTGAATCCTCTCTGGATGGGAAGGTGGGTGTGCTGGTTCTCCTGCCCCATGCAGTACTGCACAAAAACTGCTTTACAATGAAATACTGTTTATTCCTGACATGTTTCAACTCTTTTGAGATTTTAGTATTATCAATAAGAAATGGAGGCAGAATCACCATGTATTAGGCATATTACATTTGATTTTTATTATGACAAAAATAATAATTCAATAAAATGCAGGAATATGCATTTTTATTTCCTTTTTATATATTATGTGTTACTAATTTTACTGCTAAACTGTGGTTTTTGTAATTATTTTAAAACATTATTTAGCATGTTATTTTAAGTCCAAGTACTATCTTTTAATCTATATTTTGGCCAAACAGAAAACTATCCAAACCTGTTCAAATGACAAGAGAACACCTTCATAATCTATTGTAGCCTATCTACATGTGATTAAAACTGACTCTTGATTGGCAGATACAAGCACTTAAACAAGTAGCATTAGCAATGGATTAAATATTTTTGCACGGATGTGGATTTTCAGATAGTGTTATTCATCTCTGGGTCTACTGTTCTGCTAGTGCTGTACATGACTAAACAGCTGTTGTTTTCCACTCAGGAGATGGCTATATTTCAGCAGCTGCTAAATTACCTGTATATGTGTTCAGGGCCTGCTTTAAGATCCTTTTGTGTTACTGATGTTATGAGACTCTCCTGGATGCTTTTGTTTAAAACGTAAGAATGACACTGGATGATTCTTCCATTTTAGATTATTTGAACTCTGCTAAATGTCTACAGAGACACAGCCCATGTGGTCCAATCCAAACACCTCAGTTGGCACTAGTTGCCAGTGTAGGAAGAAGAACAAAGAGAGAAAAAATGACCACATTGTGACTGAGCTTTAAGAAAAGGCAGAGCACGAAAGAAAAACAGCAAAACTGGAAAAAGATGGCACAACAGTCCAGTTAGGTACTTCAAGACAGTCATCTTAAATCTATGTCTCCATTTTAAGTGTTGTTTGCTTTCAAGTGCTGCTTCATTTCAGATTGCCAGCCCCAAAGCAAAACAAAAAAAATAAAATCAAAAACACAAAGTCATGAGCTAAAGCCACACTACTTTCAAAGGTTTCTAGCACTTCTGGGGAATTAGGTTCAGTTACTTTTGCAGCTAGACATGCTGATTGCCCCTGCCAGCCCTCCTAAACCTGAGCCAGACCATGCACAGGCCCACGCTGCTTGTCTGAGGTCACTGCATGCCAACCTCCCTCTGAAATTCAAACGGCTCATGCTGCACCATGTGCCATGGGCAAGCGCCCAGCCCCTGCCCGAGAGGCCTGCTGAGTCCTTTCCGGGGTTTCCTTCCTCTTCAGCAGCTGCAACACCACCTTCCCTCCCGCCTGCGCCTCAAGACAGACAGGGCTTTGACCCCGTTATCTGGGAACAAGGCTCTAGACAGGAAACCATCTCTTTGAGCATATTGGAAGTTCTCTCGAGACTAGAGGAGATTATCACAGCAGTCCACTTTGTTCCTTAACAAAATAATCAACTAATGAAATCAACATAACCTCGGGGAAGGTG